CCCACCCTGGCCGGTGGCTTCTCCGCAGCTTTGCGGGTCGGTACCGGCCCGGTGCGGCTGGGTTGTCGGGTCCCTGTGCATCAGGTCGCTCCCGCTGTGGTGCTCAGTCCAGGGATGGCTCAGGCGAGAGGTGACTGACCCCACCGAGGAGACACTGAGGTCCTGGTGTGCCCCCTGAGCCTTGGCGGGGGGGAGCAGGAGGGTTGTGTGGGTCTGGGTGGAGCTGATTTATCCCACAGCTTTTCCATCGTGTCCCCCAAATCCAGTTTCATTCCTGGGATGGCTCCAGAGCCATCCCTTTCCATGGGTGTCCTCACCGGGGTGGGGGATGCTCCCTGAAACGACAGGAGAGGGCTGTGAGGAGGCCTGCGTGAGCTTTGGGTGCTGGGGAGCGGCTCCCAGCCCTGCAGAGGGGCGCAGACCCACCACCCTTCGAGCAGCCGCGGGTTTGGAGCAGCCCCTCGCTCAGGAACAGGCGACCTGAGGTTCGGGAGGGTTTTGCTGTGGGTCCACGTGGGTGACTGACTTGAAGGGAGCAGATGGTTTGTGCTCTAAGGCTTCTCCTGGGTGTTTTCCCAGCCTCGCTAAAGCTGCTTGGGGTTGTTTCGTTCTCACTGTTCGCATCTGGGGGGATCCCCCAAATCCGTGTGAAATGGGTGAGCTCCGAGAGCTCCTCGGTCTCGCTTAACCCCCTCCCCCGCCTCCAAGATTAAACACGCCCTGTCTCCTGCTTTGTTTTTTGGCCTTTTGGGGCTCCCGGAGTGCTTTAGAGGTGGTGCAGTGGCAGGGGCTGCCCACCAGCGGTGGCTCAATGCGGCGGAGCCGGGATGGAGGTGCAGGAGGTGGGTAGGAGTCGTCTTGGTAACGTTTACGCTGCTGCGGGTGCGTTTTTGGTCTCTTAAACAGAAGCCACAGCCCTGGATTCGCGGGAGGATGAGGTGAACTGTGAAATGTCTCTTGGGGATTTTGGTTTTCCTGGAAAAAAAAAAAACGCTGTAATTTGAGTGAATTTTTCCTCTGCTTTCAGGGCTATTCGGAGTCCCCAGACCTGGAGTTTGAATACGCAGATACCGACAAATGGGCAGCAGAGCTCTCTGGTAAGGACTCGTCCTGCTGGGTCGGTTAATCAGCCATGATTGTCTTTCCTGGCAGTGATTCAAGGAGCTGTGTCAACTCCGGTGTCGCTCTGTTATTGTCTTTAAACACCTCATTCGCGTTAAAAGGGAGGTGGTGCTGTGTAATTAATTTATTTTAGTCTCTGCTGGGTGTGTTTTTTTGCGTTTCCCCTCACCTTGGGTGAAACTGGTAACGAACGTGGCCGAGCTGCAGCGTTCTCTGACGAGCTGCAGCGTTCTCTGACGGCTCGGTGCAGAAAACCTCTCTGCTCTTTCGGCAGAGCTCTACAGCTACACGGAAGGGCCGGAGTTCCTGCTCAACCGCAAGTGCTTCGAGGAGGACTTCAGGATCCACGGTAAGACCCTGCCCTTGGACACTTCGCCCCTCTGGGGAGGGACGGGGCCCTCCCGAAGGAGACACGGGGGTTGGCGCCTCCGAAAACTCGAGCCGTGGGCTGACCCTCTTCCCGTGGTTTGCGCTGGAGGCC